GTCAACTCAGGATTCAGAAACTATAAATTCTCTTCTCATATTTCAAAGTAATCAAATAATAACTCCTTTTTTTTTTCTCATGATGATTCTTGTTCATTTTGGTGTTTATAGGTCATCGTTTATTGTTTTGTTTTTGGTCCGCGGATAACTTCTATGATGCCCAGTCAAAACCTCAAATTGTGTTGGAGCAGGGGTTACGATATAATTTTTCCTGCCGTAGATTTAGGGATTGAGTCTCATTTCAAAGTCTAAAACTGATGAAAGAATATAACTGCCAAAGCCACAGCGCAATGTGGAATAAATTAGCATTTGCATGTAGTTGTAACTTGTAATTGTAATTCATGTGTCTTTGTTTCCATGTTCATATTCTAGTTTTTAAGCTTAATGATTTTTGCATCTTTACTTTCTCGGAACAAATCTACTTTATTCTTTAATATTTTGTTTCTATTGAGTATTCTGAAGCCTGCAGCTACAAGTGCGCCGAGGAGTGAAGAGCAGCCTCAAAGTATGTGCTTATAGTTTCTTGAAGTCATCTTCTCCATAAGTTAATTTAGTTGGAGAATTGGATTCTGCTAGTTTATGGTTTTTAAATTTTCATCTTCTGTTTAAATATAAAATTATGGCATCAGGAAGCCGGAGGTCGAAGAAAAAACATCGCTATAAAGCAGGAACAGTGGCTCTTCGTGAAATTCGTCACTATCAGAAGAGTGTCACACTTCTAATCCCTGCTGCCCCTTTTATAAGATGTGTGAGTTATTAACTTCATTTGTCATGCTAATGTAGGTTTTCGTTGAGTTTATAGATGTTATACACGATGACTGCATATCCCATGCTTCAGTGCATGGAAAGAAAAACAAAGCTCACAGACACTCTTTTAACCTCTTGTAATTATAGATCAATGGAACTTTGTGGCATATTTGCAGCTTTGGAGATCATTGGATGTAATTAAGTGAATACTAGGAGATTATATTGGCTGTTTTAGTATTAGTATGATTATTTTGGATAATGCCAGTACTTATATTTCAGCCTATTTTTCAAAATGACCTTTTTGTCTCATAAAAGAACTTGCCGTCCTTGTGAGTTTAGACATGGTAAAAAAACTTGTTTTGGGGTGTCGGTGCACCTCCATTTAAAGTTTTCAATCTAGTTAGTTATTTGAAGATAAGAACAGTAGATTAATGCTTGTATAGTATATTTTTCTCATAATGTCATTTTGATGGCTTTTCTTTTTCTTTTACTTACATTCTTTCTTTAAAAGTTCATGAGGAATATGGTCTCAATATTCATTAGTTTGGTATTAACTATGTTGGCATGCATCAGGTTAGGTTTTGGATTTATAAGTACGGAATGTTGCTTATTGAAATGTTTCTAATCTTGCTGTAGGTGAAACAGATTACATTCCAATTATCCACACAGGTCAGTCGCTGGACACCCGAAGCCTTGCTAGCTCTTCAAGAGGTATATATCATTTTCCTCTCTATTCTCAGTAATTACTTGTCAGTGTGCGGGGCGCCTGCATTTTATCGAAATTATCATGTAGGTGTTGTTTTTTTTTTTTAAAAATCGTTTTATATTTCCTTAGCTTCTCCTGGACAATGTTTTGCTTATGATTGAAATGCAAAATTTCTGATGCTCTACATGATTAGAAATTATAATCTGGTGCTTTGACCAATTAATTAATATTTTCTAGGGTAAATATAAAATGAACTCTAATTTGGCTCATTTGCCTCTTGCCATATCGTTCAATGTGAGCCATTTATCCCTTGGTTTGTTCTGCTAACAAAGTTTGGCTTTCGATTATTTCCTTTCGACATTTTAACAAAACATTCGCATAGCAGATGGATGTCTGATCACATTTCTGCTCTTTACTCCCTTGTAGTTTGATCCTGGTGCACTATACTTCATGTGGTTTATGATGCTAGAAACTAAGCATTTTACCCCTCTCCCTTTCTGTTAAAGCATCTGACAAAAAATTGCTCATGGTAGAAGTATTCTTGCAGAGAAAATTGCAGATGTGGGCAATTAACTGACTGATTCATAAAGGGCAAAGTGCAAACAAACTGATTCATTTGATTGTTATTAAAAGATATTCACTTGATTTTTATATGATATTTTCCCTTTATTCTGCGTGAATGCTTGTTGCGACATCTCGTGGAAATGAATCCATAGCTTATTGGATGATAGACTTTTTTTTTTTTTACCCCATATGTTTGAGAAGTGAGAAGGCAATTAGCTCTAGTTCCTTGTTTTTAATGAAATATTTTGAAAATAAAATAAATAAAAACTTCCTTATTTCTTGTTAATTCTGGGGATAGGATGCTTTTATGGGGTGCAAATGCCATACATGCTTCTTTACGCACTAATTAAAGCTTCTACACATGTGATACATTATCTTTCTACACATGTGGCAAATTTGAATATGACTAATCAATCTGAGATTTTTTTTTTTTTTTCACTGACTGTACTCTTTTAACATTTTCTGTTTGCTGAGTTGCTGACCTGGAGTTTTACAATTACAATTCGCAGTAATATCCTTTACCGTCATAACCACATATACTAAGTTCTAATCTGCCATCACCGGTTCTTTTTTGACTACACATCACTTGTTCTTTCAAGGGTTTGCATTCAAACGCTTTTAGCTTCTTCAAGAAAGATTTATGTTATCATGGTCTGTAACATAATTGTTCATTTATGATTTCATTCTGAATTTTTATTTATTAATCTTGCAGGCAGCTGAAGATTATCTGGTTCATTTGTTTGAGGATGGAATGCTGTGTGCTATTCATGCAAAGCGTGTTACTCTTAGTAAGTTGACACAATTGTTTTAATATATTTCTCTAAATTTTCTTCCTTCAATCATCATAAATTCGTTCAATTATGTGCTTATCTTTCTTCTTTTAATCTCTGGCTGCTTTCATTGTTTCTGGCGAATGCTTATCACAATTTTTGTTACCTTACAAAACAAACATTCTACTCTTTGTGGTTGGGTTGGTCATGAGGGAAGCAGCGAATGTTTGTTTGGGACTTGCAGAAATCGATGCAGTTCTGCAATGGGAGGGCACGTGCGCTCATTTTATGTAACATTTTGCCTGTTGTTTTTAGATAGAGCACTGGGTTTTGAAATTCTGAGTAGCCCTATTTCGGTTCAATTCACTCTCAACGTTTCATTTCTGTGGTACCATGCTTCTAGGAAGTTGTCTGGAAAAGTTTTCTCTTGGCTTTAGAGAAGGTTGAGGGCAAACATGCTTTATCGATAGGGGACTGGAACTTTGCAGCTAATTCAGCACAAACACTTAATTAAGGAATACGGTGAACGTATTTCTAATTAAAACATATAAAGTTAAAATTTTTTCAATATAACAATGCATTCCCCCCCCCTTTATTTTTACTTTTGGTGGTGATGATGGTTTTGATTACTATTTTTTTAATCCCTGTAAGTAATAATAGCTATCATCTCAAGGTAAGGTGAATGAACGTGGATATGGTCCACTAAGTCAACACCTAACTGTATAGTGATTACCATGGTCATGAGAAGCTGATAAGTTATGTTTAATTGTGAATTTGGTGCTTCTTCTGGTGAGTAACGTGGCATCCTAATTTGGACCCTAGTTGGAATTTGTAAATCCCAGAATTTTATTCCTTCTGTCAGGCTGCTTATTACTTTGATTTGTTTGTTTCTTCATGAATATTTAGTTGTGCTAGTTTTACATCGTCAGTTTTTCACCCTTCCCTGGTATCTGATATCTTATTATAGAAAGTAGCCTACACTAATTTTTTCTTTTTTAACTTCAAATCATTGGTAAAGTAACTTGGGTGAGTTAACTACTTAACTTGTCTAGAAAGAGTATTGATCTGCTTTATTATTCTGTGTTCAATTCTTTTTGGGAGCACTACGGGACTAAAATTCTGTAAGTACTGAATTGCTGTGGTGAAATGCGTCCTTAAAAATGCCCAAGTGAATTCTTTCTCAACGAAGTCTTAGAATACCCTTTGTCCATAATAACAGAAATGGAAGAGGGGGAAAAAGAATCATTGGTAAAGGAGTAACTAAAGAGATGTATAAATGGTGTGAAAAATACCGTACATCTTTGTTTTCCTTGTTTAGCAATCTGTTTTCATTTGCTTCTTCTGTTACCCCAGTGAAAAAGGATTTTGAGCTGGCTCGTAGGCTTGGGGGAATAGGAAGGCCTTGGTGAGAATGAAATCCTCTGGAGCACTTGCTGCTTCGATTGTTTCGTACGTGCTTGATTCCATGGGAGCCTGACATGTTCGGCTTGCAATTATTATTTGACAGAAAATAACTTATGTAATATGAAAATTAGGAATTAGAAATTAGGTTGACTCAATACTATTAGAATCAGTACAGTATCTTAGTTTGCATGTAACACCATGTATCATCAAATTCCGATTGTGTGTAATTGACTAATTGTCCATGAATCACGATGACCAAGGATTTTGAAAAATGAATGTTTAGATTTTCTTGAATTGTTAAATAGGGGTTGGTAATTGCATTAAGATCATGTATCAATTGTTTTAGAATGAAATAGCAGTGTCACGCATGAGGATCCAAGGGTTTTAACTGAACTAAAGTGAAATGAAGAAGTTATTCAATATTTTAAGGTTTGAAACTGAACTAAAGTGAAATGAAGAAATTATCCAATATTTTAAGGTTAGAAGTCAGTATCAAGTGCCTTCAACGTTTATTAATATTGGGCAAATTTAGAATCAGCAAGGAAATAACGCGTACTGTGCAAACTCATTTGGATTAAATTTACATTTTATCGCTTTACCCCACAAAAAAAGAAAGCATTTTATCAATAATCCCTTATTGGCTTATTAGTGAGGGATAAGTGAGTAATAGTCTGGAATTATCTTTCAATTCCTCTTGTGTATTGAGGGAGTTCCAATTTAAATTGAACTAATTAAACAAATGAAGTTTAATTGACCTAAGTGATCAAAGTAAAACAGATCTAATTCGATTTTCTTGAGCTCAATATATATCCTAACTTAAGTATAATAGTAGTCCTTGCATTTGAATCAAGTTAACATTAACAAAGTAAATTTTGATCAGTAAAGTACAACATGCCTTGTGAAAGGAGAATAGCTATTTCTTTGCAGAAACCATAAGTCTGACAATGATAAATCATACTTGTCATGCCCCGCACTAGCATGATCTGTTCCCTTTGTGCTTGATTTAAGAGCTGTTGGAATGAATTTGGATCCTTTCCTATAAAAAAATCATGTTATTTTCATTGTATAATATGTTGAATCAAGTCCCTTTCCAAGATGTTGGATGAAGCTAACATACTAAAATTCAAATAAGAAGGAATAACACGGTTTTCAAAAGAAAAGGATACACTCCCTTGGCAAAAATTAAAGAAGAATGACAGAGAGATTCTAAAAGAATCAATTAATTTAACATAGGATCTAAGTATTAACTTTTAAAAAATTTACAAGTTTAACTCTCAATTTTATAATTTTATTATGATCAATCTGTAACTTATTTTAAATTTTAATAGAAAAGATAAATTTATTTATTTTACAACCATGTTAAAATTTAAAAAATAAGTTACAAATTTATTATAACAAATTATAAAATTAAAAGTCAAACTTGTAAATCACTGGAAGTTAGCACTTGGAGTTTAAATTAAATTAATTTATTCTCCTGCGGTCTCTCTGTCATTTTTTCAAAGTATAACTTAAAGTTTGTCTTTTTTATATCACTCTCTCTATATTTGATTTAAGTGTTACTTTATTGAAATGTGTTCGGATCTCGTATTATAAAAATTACAGTTGTTCTCTCTTGTTCAAAATCTAGTTTGTTGGCTTGGTCCAACTACTGAGAGAGAGATTTAATCCAATGGTTAATATATGTAATGTGTTGCACATCGTTGGATCAGGCCAACAAACTAGATTTCAAAGAGGAGTAGAACAATTTCACAAGAAGAAAATGTGAGTGTGTATTTTCTTATTAAAATGGTAAGTTTGACAGCTTTGGTGAATACTTGGCATGATTTATATCATCAATATTTATGCTCTCTATTTGATTTAAGTGTTGTTTAAGAGGATTTAGATCATCTCCTATATAAAAAAATTGAATTGTTCTTTCCTTATTTCCTTCCAGAATTTACTTCATTGGTTTAATCCAATGACTAAGAGAGAGACTTGATCAACCAATAATTTATGTAACGCTCATTTATGGTTGTTGGATCAATTCTCTTTCCTAATAGATTAAGTAAGCAAACCATATTTCATATTTCAAATAGGAGAATACAAGATTTAAAAGGATATCAATTTCTTTGCTAGAAAAGCTATAATATAACTTTGACAGATCCATATTATCTGTCACACGTTGTATCATTATGATCCATGTTCTTTGCATTTGATTAAAGAGCATTGCTGAAATGGATTAAATCAACAAACCATATTTCAAAAGACATTCATTTCCTTTCTGACGAAGCTATAACTTACACAGCTCAATATCATCTATGATGTATTGCATCAACATAATTAATGTATTTCGTATTTGATTAAAGAGCATCGCTAAAATGAATTAAATCAACAAAACCATATTTCAAATGGGAGGGTAAAATTTCTGGCAAAAAACCAAGGAGAGTAAAATATGATTTTTAAAAGGATATCCGTTTCATTGCTTGCGAAGCCTTAACTCTGACAGTTCAATATCACTTGTTGTGCATTGTATCAACATATTTCATGTTACAGAGCGTTACTAAAATGAATGAAATTAACAAAACCATATTTCAAAGAGGAGAATAAAATATGATTTTTAAAAGGACATCCATTTCCTTTCTGGTGAAGCTATAACTTTGACAGCTCAATATAATCTGCCATGCATTGTATGATTATATCAACAATAATTCATATTTCCTGGTATTTGATTAAAGAGCGTTACTAAAATGATTTAAATCAATAGACCATATTTCAAATGGGAAAGTACAAAATTGTTTTTAAAAGGATATCTATTTCCTTGCTGATTAAGCCAACTTTGACAGCTCTAAATTATTTGTCATAGTTTAACTTTCACAGTGCTATAAACTGTCATGCACTGTATCAACAAAATTCATGTTCTCTGTATGTGATTAAAGAACGTTACTAAAGTAGATTTGGATCATCTAATATACGATACTCTATTGCTTTTCCTCCTCCTAAAATCTAATCTGTTGATTTGATGAGAGATACTTGATCCAATGGCTAATATGTGCAATGTGTATTACAACCGTAAGATTAAGTCCCTTTCTTAGCTATCAGATCAAGCCTACAAACCAAATTTTAAGTTTAAAAGCAGAAGATCCATTCTTTTCTGAAACTGTAAGCTGTGTGGATCATGCTTGTCACACCTTGTATATCAGCATCACATAGTGCCTTTTCAATTCTATAAATACCCTCACCTCCTTTTCATTCTTCAACATCTTTCTCATGGGTTCAATCACGTTTGGTCTAGGTTTCAGTTCCTCCATTGATGTGCCAAAAGGGAGAAATAATCCTACCATGCTTGTTCATTCCAATATACTTCCTAATTTCTCCATTGCAGGTCACAGATGGGAGAGAGGATACAAATATCATCATCGTCCGAGAATCAAATCTCAAACCTTATGCTTATAGTCATCTTATTTACTCACATTCCAAACATTATAAGCATCTTTTACTCACATCCCAAACATTACGCCCGTCCGTCCATACTTCTCCAAACAAGATATCTTTCAACCTCCAATGTTCCTTCTCAGAGCCTTTTTTTCACTTTTCAAGAGCTTCCCTTATGCAACATCAAGAGTCTGCGAAGGTGCTCGAGAAGATGGAACAGGCTTAGCAACAAGTATGTCGAGGGTATAAAGGTAATTAAGGTGCAATTTCAAATTCTTGCACTGCGTTGCCCATTTTTAATGCAACTAGCCTTTTGAACATTTTGTTTGCAGTTAATACCGAAGGAGGTGATCTTGTTTGGAGTTTATGGTATGAATAAATTATTACATTTTAGTCTTTTCATGAAAATAGATATTTCATTGTCTTTATAGCTAGAAAAAATTACATCCAACCTCCTCTCAAAAACATTTATCACAAATAAGAACCAACAACAAGTCCCATTTAAAAAAAAAAAAAAAAGTCATGCTCCTATTTGAACAATAATCTGTTACACACTGATCTTTATATGTGATTAATTTATTTGAGAGGGGGTTGGATATGATTTTCCTTAAACTTATATTTGACAACTTTTTTCACAGTGATGGCGACGTGATGATTTGGAGCTGAGTGAGTGCTTCAATGGCCGTTAATACCAGGTGTTTATTTAATATAAAAATATTAAAAACATTAACTTTTATCAGTAAATTATTAGTTTTGATACCTGATCTTATTAAAATATCTAAAGTAGTTATATATATATACACTCCTTTTGGGATAAAATGGCCACTCTCCATTTTGCACATGTGAGAATTGAGATGTCTCTGTTTTACATTTTAGGCATTTAAGTTTTATATTAATATTTTTTTTTATCACACTTTATGCAGGAGGAAGAATTGAGAAGGGTATTGAGGTCAATTAATTAATTAATTATATTACTTAAAATAATTAAGAATAAGCATATATGAAAGTGAGATCAGAGGAAGGAACTGATTAAGAAATGAGTAAAAGTTGACTCCAAATACAACAACTTTCTCCGTCTCCTCCTCTGTTCTGCCATTTTCTATATATGCTTCTTTTAATAATAATAATAATAATAATAATAATAATTTTTTACCAAAGATGGGGAAGCATATCAACATCTTTACTTTAATTAAATAACAATATTAGCTGAAGATTATTTCATGAAAGGTGAAGATCGTCCTGGAGAAAGATGATGCTTAGTGAAGATTTTCTTCTTCAAAATTTCCAGTGAAGAAATCACTCAGGACATCAGATAGGGGCCAGACTTCATACATATGGAGTAAAGTGATTATCATTTACAATTTTATGTTAATTAAGTTATGCAAATTATCTAATGTATCAAAATATTATTATTATCACAGAACAGATATACAACTGGAGTATATCTTTGTTTTATATGTTTAATGTAAAGTAATGACAATTTATGTATTATCTTGAGTTTTATTATTTAAATATATCTGGTAGATTTTATTTATTGATTTATGTTGTTGATTTACTAGTATGACCTATAAAGACGATGTTTCTGGATTTTGAGAGTAATGGGTGACAAAACAAGAGAAAAAATATATCACATTAATCTCAAACTGTTAGTAACCATTTGAAATTAATTTTATGTAAATTACATATGGTATCGTTAAAAATAAAAACATACGCTTGCGTTATCATAAAATGCTCTTAGCCATGAGAATCTTCACATACAATCTTCAGAAAATATATAGCTAAAAATTAATTAAATAATTTAAAATTTTGAGTGGGAATAAACTAGTGATATTTTAAGCTAAATTTTAATATAAAAAAAATTAAGCCTACAACTACAACATTCAAAACTTTCACCAGACCTTACTTTGCAAATTAGAATATTTAAAATTTAAAAAAAAACAAAAGGATTAGGTCTAATGGAGAGGGGTAGTCCTCATAGAGTGACAAATTTAGGTTTAAATCCTCGTTAAGAGAGATATCTATGTTTAATATCTGACCATACCTCGAATAGAATTTTTTTCAATAGGAGAATATTACTTGTTAAATCAATAATATTAGTTGTACATTGTCTAACATTTAGTAAATCTATCTACCAAGACTTGTTAAATCATTAACTTTACTTGTAAAATCATTAGCATGACTTGTTAATTTTCTTGTATTACTTGTTAACTCCATAACTTTACTTGTATATTATCCAACTTGTATTAAATCCATTCATCACACCTTGTCAAATTATTAATTTTACTTGTAAATTATTAACATTACTTGTTAATTTCTTTGTTTTACTTGTTAAGTCCGTAACTTTAATTCTGCATTTATATCTAACTTATGTTAAATCTATCTATCATAACTTGTTAAATTATCGACTTTATTTGTAGATTTGCCAACATTACTTGTTAATCTCATTATGTTTGTTTTTAAACATTAGGGCAATTTGGTCATTTCATACCAAAAATTTATTTCAATTAGGTCCTCCAATCTTGGAGTGGATTTTTAGATTTTTTTTTTGAGTGTGATTTGTAAATAAATAACTATTGTGATTTTTAAATGAAATTCTCTTGACCTTTTAATTAGATTGCTATGCATATTAAAATGTGCTATAATATATTATCTTTGGAGATATATTATGTGGAAATTTGTTATCTATTGAAATTTATATTCTATTGAGATTTACTATTATTTTGTATTCATTTGATATTATTAGAATATTCATTAGTGATTATCAGAAAAAGGCTTTATAGATTAATAAAGTATGATACTTTTCTCAGTCTTCTTTATTTCTCTTCTGCCTTCTTTCTTGGTATTAGAGCTTGTTAACCAAGTTTTGATAATAACTTATACAATATTTTTCTTTTTGTCAACCCTTCTCTTGCATGACCATTTGAAACCAATATAGTAACTAAGTTTTGCTTAAATAAGAGCTTAACTCTCTTAAACCTTGGCTTGACCTTATTGAATCACAAATGGTCCAAAAAAACCACACTAATCAAACTTAAATTCCATTAATGTTTACCAAGGCTTTGGCAGTCCTAACTAACAAACTTGATAGCATTGATTAGAACCTTATGATTCAAAAATCATCACCAAACAAAACCTTAGAGTGATTCTTAGAGGATGAATCACTGGGCAACAAACTTGAAAGTGATTCTTGAAAAACGAATCATTGGTTAAAAAATTCGAGAGTAATTCTCAAAGAAGTGAATCACTAGGTGGGAACTCAGAAGTGATTATCAAAGAAACAAATCACTGGGTAAAAACTTAAGAGTGATTCTCAAAAGAATGAATCACTAACTTGAAACTTAAGAATGATTCTTTGAGGAATGAATCACTAGGCAAAAAAACTTAAAAATGATTCTTTGAGAGATGAATCACTATGTGAGAAACTTAGAAGTGGTTCATGGATAAATCACTAGGAGGAAACTTGGGAGTAGTTCATGGATGAGCTACTAGGATAGAAACTCGAATTGAACCATCAAGATACTAAAAGGAAGATAAATAGGGAGCATGAGAGCTTTGTTATACAAATCTCTAGCCTGAACAAATTATCAAAATTTTCGGTGATAACAAATAAAAAGAGCTTTTAGTATTTTCATATCAAACTAGAGTACAAAACTTTTCGCAATTTCTTTTATTTCTCTATTAGACTTCTTTCAAAATTAATTATAAACTCAAAATTATAGCTATCTCACAAGTTATTAATACCTGCTTTTCAATTTATATTGTATTTTGCAATTGTACTTTCATAAAAATTTTCCAAAACCATATAAACTCTATTTTATAAACAATAATTTTGGGTTCATAATTAATTTTGGCATGTATAAGAGTGTTTAGATATTTTTTAATAAAACAATAATTTTGAATTTATAATTAATTTTAACATGTATTAGGGATATTTGGATATTTTAAAAAATCATGATTTTAAATTTGAAATTAATTTTAGTATATAATAGGAATGTTTTAATATATTTTTACAACATCGTAGTTTTAGGATTTAAAATTAATTCGAAAGGGTATGTAAACATGATCAACACTTCGCCCGCATTCTTAAAACTCGTTGATCCCATTTGTTACAGTTTCACACTCTTTTGATTTATTATATGATACTACGTTGTTGAATAAATAATTTTATCCTTTTCTAAGTATTGATTTTAGCTCAATATTTTTTCATAGAATAGATTATTATTTTTTATAAAACCTATGATTAAAATTTTTTTCTTACTTTTGAAACATTATTTTTATTTTATTTTCTAAAAAATATGAATATTTTTTTTATAACTGCATGTCGTTCTTGTCATGATATGTTTCACACCTGACAGTAGCTATTGTCATTGAATACCTGACCATTGATTATCATGCTGCAGTTCATTACTTTCCTTTTCCCCTTGCCCCTTATCAATCATCTTTGTTTTCAGAAAAAAATCCAAATTCTCACGTGCATGCCTTATATATTTACTTGTACCACACAACCTTCCTTAGAAAAAAAAACTTAATTAACATCAAAATTTTACAGGCTATATATATCACTTGTATATATTTAACACCTAACAGCCATACCACATTTTCTATTGCATGTTTGACACTTGACAATCATGTTGCAGTTGTCATTGCATATTTGACACTTGATGCTCATGCGGAGCTTGTCATAGTAAATTTGACACTTGGCGGTCATTTGAAGCTAGTCATTGCATGTTCAACATTTAACAATCATGCTAAGTGTTGCTTACCGCAAGTGTACGGATCGTAGCAAGTAATATAATGAAAGTAAAGTATCATTCCCTCGAGGATTTGTTCAAAAATAATGATCAAGCAAAAAACTAAGTAAATTTGATCAAGTTAAGCTACACAAAGTTAGGTGAAAATGATTTTTCAAATGAAATTAACTTTAGAAAATAAAGAAAAGTGAGTGATTCACAACTTCTAACACAATTTAGGACCTAGGATTATTTGTCCCCCTTGCATTTCATAACACCAAAATTACCCCTCTCTAAATGCTTTTAATGAAAATAAGTGCTAACCTAGGGTTCTAAAATACTTGGACAAGCTCTCTCAAGTCATGAACAAGTGTTTAGTTAAATTAATTGCCCAATCTCTTGTTACAATTAATAAAACTCAATTTTAAACACCAACCCTAATGTGGCTATGCAAGGCTAGCAAGTATATTTCTATCTTACTAGTAAAACCATCCATTCAACATGCAAATATCAAGTTCTTACACAATTTTACCCAAGTTCTACACTCAACCTAGCCCTCTCAAGCATCAATTAAGTAAACCCAACATCTAAATGATGGCCAATCAAGTAGAAACATTAAGGAAAGAGTAAAATAAACACATATATATCATTAATCACAAAAAGAGAGGAGAAATACGGTGTTAATCCATACAAGGGTTCCAAATAATTCTAGAACAAAGGGTTTAGCTACTCATAATCATCCACAAACTATAAATATACAAAATAAGTGGACCCATTTCAGATTACAAGAGAGGAAAGGGAAGAGGAATAGAAAAACCAAAGAAAATGAGCTCCAAATGTCTTCAAAGCTTCAATCTCTTGATCCCAACTCTTCCAATGCCCAAACCCTAGCACAACCAACCTCTAAAAGTGTCTAAAAGTCTAAAGAATGCGTTCTGAGTCGAGCTCTCAACTTATATGTATCCTAACTAATTAATTTCTGATAAATGAAACGTAGCGTTTTTCTGACAGCGGCGAAAGTCGCGAACAAAAGTCACGACTTTGGGACGACTTTGGCAGTTTTACACTGTTTTTACAGCTAACAAAAATCATTCATTTTGCTCTTGATTTCTTCATCCAAAAGCCTTCCAAAAACATCCACAAGCTCCAGAAATGCTTCTAATCAAAACTTCAATCAAAATAACATGAAATTAGGCTAAAAATATCAAATTAAAGCCAAGAACACAAGCCGAAAATAAAATGCACATTTTTTTAATTTGGGCAATAAAAACATATACAATTGAACCAAAATGGATTAGAATCTAAGGAAAATGTGATGAAATAACATGAACTTCTAGATGTTAACACTAAGCTTGTCATTGCACACTTCCTCCATTTAAAAATATAAGATATTTTTTGAGGAATTGGATATTTAAAAATATAAGACCTTTTTAATCTTTCGAGATGTAATCATTGCCTTTTTTTCAAAAATACCCCTATTAATAATGATTTTATATTTATTGTAAAATGTTTAATAGAGATATATATGAAAAGATAGGTTAGTTTAAAAATAAATAATAACTTTATTGGAAGTAAAATTTAATTAAAAATATTTTATATTTTTTAATGGAGGAGTATTTTCTAATTGCAGTCGTGTATTTTACACTTTTCACATGCCCCCTCTCCATTTACTCATACCTCACAGACCTTCATTTTGAGTTTTAT